AGACAACCTCTCGTCAATATGCGTTTTTCGCATTGCATTGCTGCAAAAAACGCATGAAAATTAATAAATTGCTGAGAGAAATGTTGCTTCAGAATTCAAGAGTCAAAAACATGCATACCTTTAGGAAGACCAATTCCGTAGCCTTTCTGGTCAATGAGGCCTCCAATCTGGAGAAGTGAGCAGTCACGTTCAACAGCATACTCGAGCATCGAGGACTCCATAAGGTAGGCGTATTCGGAATTTTTCACTCTCAAAATGCCTTCTTTTGACGAATTCACAAATGAGTTTGGCTGATTTGACATTGTCTTCCACATTTTTTCATAAGTGTCGATCTTCGATTCCTGAAAGAATAAAAAAAAATAAAAACAGATTGCAAGAAAATAGTCGAAACAGCTGCGAACCAAAAGTCATTTGACCGCAGAACATAGATAAAATGATTCACCAGTGATTTAAAGGTGGATCTTACAGTACGGCTTATAAAATATGAAATTACCGAATTTACAATGAAAGCGAAGGGTCTGGCATTCCTCCCAAAAAAAAAAAAGAAAGAAATTTAAGTAAGACGAATCGCCTACCTACCTGATTAAGTGGGCAATGGACAAATCTAAATGTTCCTTGCCAGTAAGGATGCCATTTAGCAACGTCAATACTCAACCGAAAAAAACGAAAAACTTTTCGAAACTTTAGCTGCAAGTTCGACTAGATTTTAAATAAGACCTCGAGGTCTATCAAGAAATAACACATATTGAAGGGCATCAGATGCAAAAACAGCCTCCAACCACAATAAGATTAGATGTGAATGTGTAAAACCCGCATTCCTGCTGAACACTTTTCAGCAAAAAAGAGTGAAATCACAACGCAAGGTTGAATACCACAAACAAATTTTTCCCAATAATGTGTGCAGGAATTCAACACATTATTGCAACATATGCAGCCCCTGTTCAGCATGAATAAGCAGCGTCCAAGCTCAAGTACTCAATTTGTCAGCTGAACAAACCTTGAAAAAAGTCATTGTTGAGCCATGGCCGAGTGTGCCAAATTTGATTTTTGTCTGTTTCGCTAAATCATCAGCACTTTCGATCGGAGAAACCATTCGTTGGGTTGTCAGGAAGGCAGCCAGATTGGCGGTGTACGAGGAGATAAGAACAAGCGTGAAGAACCACCATGCCAACGCAACAATCCTGGTACTCACCGCACGGGGCGACAGTTCGCTTCCCTGAAGTTTACCAGCCATGAAACATATAATAAAATGATACTTAAACGCTAAGGAAAGAGAAGCAAAAGGCAAGGAAAGGCTAACGCGGGAAAAGTTAATAAATGGCAACGCGCACCAGACTAGCCGGTGCGATCATGCGTTTTGTGCAATTCGGCCCATCGA